TTGAGCACTAATCTTTACACTTACCCCCCAAGCATAAATTCCTTTTCAGGCTAAAAATTCTCCCCAAACAAAAATTCCCCCTCTTCCAGTACAAACCCTACCTCCCAGCTTAAATCCTCTGCCTCCCCAAATCCCCCCTCCTAGCACAAATCCTCTACCCCTCAAATTTCCCAGCATGAGCATTAATCCTTTCCTCTCCAAATCCCCCTCTTCTAGTATAAATCCCCCTTAATCCCCTCTCCTAACATTAACCCCCCCAATTTCCCCTCCTTGTAAAAAACCCCCAATCAAATCCTCCCCTCGCTCAAATCCCCCTTCCTAACACATATTCACCCTTCTAGCATAATCCCCCAAATCTCCACTGTGCCCAGGGCAGCCATCCCTCCTACCCCTTGCCCCAGACCTGCAAACATGTAGTAACTTTGTGAACATGGCTGTCACGGTCCTCCCTCCCCTGCTCCCTCTCTCCCCCTCCCGGATCCCTGCACCCTCCTTTCCTCATTACATACCCCTGTACCCACACGTAGCCCACATAAAGTGGTGTGCTGGGTGCCAGGGAGCTGCCTCCTGCTGGGAATCCCCACACCTCTCCTCGGCCAAAGAGTCCGCTGCCCCACTGTGACTGTATGTGGATTCCCCACATGCAGGCCACCTGGATGTCGCTGTGCGTCCCGTCTCCCCTTGTCTTAGCGGGCACAGAGCAGCCCCGATGTTCCCGCGCTCTGCACCCGCTAGAGACAAAGGCGCGTGGCCGGAGTGAGGTGACGGGACTTGTTGCCACGACAACCCAATGTCAGGACGGCAACCTGGGAGCTTCCTGCTCCAGAGATAAAAGGTGGTATCTTCCCCTGCTCGCAACCCAGGGTGCTGTGAGAGGTCCTGAGCTGCAGCCAGACCCTACAGCCAAGCCAGGCTTAACCCATTGCCTGCCAGTCTGCCTTCTGCTGTGTGCCCCAGACTTAACCCGTTGCTTGCCAGTCTGCCTTCTGCTGTGTGCCCCAGACTTAACCCATTGCCTGCCAGTTGGCCTCCTGTTGTGTGTCCTGGACTTAACTCATTGCCTGCCAGTCTGCCACCTTGTTGTGTGCCCCGGACTTAACCATTGCCTGCCAGAGCCTGCCGTCCTGTTGTGTGCCCCGGATTAACCCACTGCCTGCCAGAGCCATCCTTCTGCTGTGTGCCACAGACTTAACCCATTGCCTGCCAGAGCCTGCCTTCTGCTGTGTGCCCCTGACTTAACCCATTGCCTGCCAGTCTGCCACCCTATTGTGTGCTCCTTGTCGTGTGTCCCACCCTGTGGTACAGACTTAACTTTTGTTCTGCCAAAACCTTGCTATACTTATCGTGCCCCCTCCAAATCACTCAATAACAGCCTTGTGTGCCCCACTGCTCCCACGTGTGTTCTGTCCCAACTACACCTTCGTCACAATTGATATCACACATGATCTGTGAACATCCTTGGTACTTATCCCTGTGCCCATTAATACACTTGAGTCTACTGATTGTGGGATGTCTTGGAATCATTAGGCCTTGGCAGAGCTTTTTAAGTGAATTTTCTTTTGGTAAAAGCCTGCTAGTGAACCAGTAGATCATAATCCAACCAACAGATCCTGGACAGCAATAGATGTTGTATCCCCAACCACTGTCAACTAATATTGATCTTTATAAGAAAACATAGCAATACAGGCCAGTAGCCTGTAATCCACTGTGTTCAATTTGATGCCAAAAAATAAAGAAATTAAACCAAATGTGTAACTATTGAGTACATCTAGACCAGGGGTGTCCAACCTGTGGCCCACAGGCTGCATGCAGCCCAAAATAGCAAACACAAAATAGCTAACACAAAATCATAAACCTACTTAAAATGTTGATTTATTGGGGGAAAGTTTTGTAAAAATTCATTTACACTTGGCAAGCACATGCAGCCGAAGAAAAATTTGACAGTGTCTCTTTAACGGAACTTTAAACGTTTTTTATCTTCCTGAAGAAAAGTATCCAACAGTCATACCTTATTCACGTAATCAGTTTTCAGCAGCACCTATATTTGTGAGCAACTATTTTCAAGGATGAAGTACACAAATGGCAAAATTAGAACCAAAATATTTTGATGAGCACCTTGAGAATTCATTGAGAATTGCTACTACATTCATCAAACCAGATATCGATTAGTCAGTTTCTCAGAAACAGTGTCAAATATCACACTAGATTTTTGTTGCTCTCTTTTACTTTTAGAATGAAAAAATAACAAAAAAAAAGACCTTTTATTACTCAGATACATTATTATTATTATTACTACATTATCTATATCAGCAATTGTTAAGTTGTGATCTGCCCAACTTTTCCTGCTCACCAGCTATCCTTATTGTTAGTGTATTTTATGTGTGGCCCAAGACAATTTCTCATCTTCCAATGTGGCCCAGGAAAGTCAAAAGGTTGGACACCCCTGATTTAGACCAAGCAAGTGTCAAAACTCTTATGAAGAAGTACCTGGATCTTTAAATTGCTTGGCCTTTAAGAAACCATTTACCTTTAACGTCTGAGAGACTCTGCAAGGTACTAGCTCTACATTTGTGTCCCCCAGGGGCGGACTGACCATTTTGAAACTCGGGCACTGCCCGAGGGCCCGGGGTCAGTAGTGGGCCCCATGAGATGCCCCTGGTACCTTTTCCACAGGCTTTTTTGAGTTTGGGCAAGGGCACAGGGGCCCCATGATCCCCAAATGCCCGGGGGCCCCATGAGTTGTCAGTCCGCCCCTGGTGTCCCCTCAAGTATTTTACATTAGAGTTAAGCAAGGAACTCTGCTTTAGTTTAATTAAGTATTTGTATCTGGAATTTGTTCTGAAGAATGAACATTTTACCTGGATTGATATCCAGTTTTTCTAACTGTCCACTAACAAAATAATATTGCTGATTGTTTTTTTTTCCCCTGGAGTAAATAGTGGGCATCATGCCAGCAATCAGGTCTGCATAAGCCTTATAGGAGGAACATTTTAGTAATCATCAAACATGTTCTGGGCACAATTACAGAAGGTTTGGATATGACCAAAAGAGGTCTACTGACCCTCAGGGGAAGTGGCCTTATTAAAGCTGTGGCCCCCTGCAACCCCTCTTTTTTAAGCACAGGTTTCAGTTGGACTTTTGAACATGAATCCCAACAATGCAAGTGCATCACTAAATTATTTGCAGCCTCAGTGGGCTGCCATTGGAGCAAAGTTGTCTTCCAGATCAATACATTATCTAAGCAATCTTGGTTTGCAGTCTTCTGTGAATCAACCTTGTTTTTTTTATATGTCTATACAAGCTAGTGGGAACCAAAATCAATACATTGCCATATGCAAATAGTATGCATGCTACCTCTCAACAAAGCTTTAATGACCATTATGTGTTGTAAAAAACTATTATATTCAGCAATGAGAGCTAACAATAACAGTTACATGACTTAAAATAACTAACATGATAAACAGCCATTTTTGACAAATAAAATGTAAAAAAAAGGCTTTTAACAGTTACATGCCCAGTTAAAACAACTCACATATCTTAGTGAATTGATCCTAATATGTCAGGTCAAGTGGATTGCAAATATTATGAACACTAAATCATGCCCCCAGTAACAACACATTATATTTTACTATTCCATTATAGCAATTATGTAAAGTTTCACAAGAATATATCACACTGTAATAATTTTTAATTAAATAGAAGCAGCAAATTATATCATACCACAACAGCACATTATATAGAGAAAGAACATATTAGATTGCAAAAGAACATTATATCATTCAGCAAAACAATATTATACTTCAAAAGCAAACTATATTACCTAGCAACATTATATGATATTATACCACAAAAGCACAATACTGTATATGAAAGTGAACCCATCCCCCTCCTATTTAACCACCACCACAGCCCCCCCTCACTTGAACACCTCCTACTCAATGAAAGCACCTAGTATGTAGGTAGTCAATATATCCCCCCTTGTCATATTAGTGGTCAATGTAAATGCCCCATACATTGGTGCTGAAATCCTGATTACATTAGTGGTGGGAATTAATACTCACATTACATTGGTGGTCAGTGTAAAATTCTATATTACAATGTTGATCAGTGAGAGAAGGGTCCACTTACATAGCAAGTCAGTGGCAGATGTGCCACCTCATATTAGTGGACAGTTGGAGAAGGGCTCCCTTTCATAATCGTTGTGAAGAAGTACTCCCTTATCTTGATGGTCAATAAGAGAGGTTCTTCCTTACATTGGTAGTCAGGGGAAAAGGTTAGTAGAATATTTTTCTGGTTAGTAAAAGTACCTCATTACATTGCATGGGTGATTTACAGGACTCTAGTTTTGTGATCAGTGATTATGTACCTCATCTGACAGGAAAAGCAGAGAAGACAACAATGATGTCAGTTCATCTTTTTCCCATGGGAGTAAACTCACAAGTTAGCTGGGGAACTTTCATTTGCTGAAAATATACTAGCTTTGTTCCCATGCCTCTGAGGTCCCCAAACCTATTAACCACTTGAAGACTGGCATGTTAAACCTCCTTCCTGTCCTGGCCATTTTACAGTACTGTGATACTTTGACTGATAACTACGTGGTCATGGCATACTGTACCCCAATTTTTTTTTTTTTTGAGACAGAGCTTTTTTTTGTGGTATTTAATCACCACTGTTTTTCTTTATTTTTTTACTTTAGTTTTTGCTATAAAACTTTGCAAATAAATAATCATTATTCATTCACTAAAGAAAAATTAATTACATATTTTAGTTAAACAACAACAACAAATAAGTGTATGTTATACAATTACAAAACTATACTACTGTATTTTCCGGCGTTTAAGACGACTGGGCATATAAGGCGACCCCCTACTTTTCCAGTTAAAATATAGGGTTTGGGCTATACTCGCCGTCTAAGACTACCCTCTTCCAACGCACACCAAATAAAAATTAAAAAACATCATATTTGATTTCAATATGGTATGGTATTTCAGTATGGTATTCCAATGATGGGGTGCTATCCCTTCCACTGACACCAATGATGGGGAACGATTCCTCCCACTGACACCAATGATGGTGCCCCATCATTAGTGTCAGTGTGTGAGGAATAGTGCTCCATCAGTGTCAGTGGGAGAAATAGTACCCCATCATTGGTGTCAGTGGGAAGAATCGTGCCCCATCATTGGTGTCAGTGGGAGGAATAGCCCCCCATCATTGGTGTCAGTGGGAGGAATAGTGCCCCATCATTGGTGTCAGAGCGAGGAATCATGCCCCATCGTTGGTGTCAGTGGGAGGAATAGTCCCCCATCATTGGTGTCAGTGGGAGGAATAGCCCCCCATCATTGGTGTCAGAGCGAGGAATCGTGCCCCATCATTGGTGTCAGTGGGAGGAATAGCCCCCCATCATTGGTGTCAGTGGGAGGAATAGCGCCCCATCATTGGTGTCAGTGGGAGGAATCATGCCCCATCATTGGCATCAGTGGCAGGAATAGTGCCCCATCATTGGTATCAGTGGGAGGAATAGTGCTCCATCATTGGTATCAGTGGGAGGAATAGTGCCCCATCATTGGTGTCAGTGGAAGGAACAGTGCCCTATCATTGGTATCAGTGGGAGGAATAGTGGCCCATCATTGGTGTCAGTGGGAGAAATAGTGCCCCATCATTAGTATCAGTGGGAGGAATAGTTCCCCGTCATTGGTATCAGTGGCAGGAATAGTGCCCCATCATTGGTGTCAGTGGGGGGAATAATGCCCCGTCTTTGGTGTTAGTGGGAAGAATCGTGCCCCGTCATTGGTGTCAGTGGGAGGAATAGTGCCCGTCATTGGTGTCAGTGGGAGGAATAGTGTCCCAACATTGGTGTAAGTGGGAGGAATAGTACCCCATCATTGGTGTCAGTGGGGGAAGGAATAGTGTTCGATCGTTGGTGTCAGTGGGGGGTGGAATAGTGCCCCATCATTGGTGTCAGTGGGGGGGAGGAATAGTGCCCCATCGTTGGTGTCAGTGGGGGGGGAATAGTGCCCTATCGTTGGTGTCAGTGGGGAGGAGGAATAGTGCCCCATCATTGGTGTCAGTGGGGGGGGGGAGGAATAGTGCCCCATCGTTGGTGTCAGTGGGGGGGGGGGAGGAATAGTGCCCCATCGTTGGTGTCAGTGGGGGGACGAATAGTGCCCCATCGTTGGTGTCAGTGGGAGGAATAATGCCCCATCATTAGTATCAGTGACACCAATGATGGGGCACTATTCCTCCCACTGACACCAATGACACTTGCTGACCCCTGTTCCAGCATGGTGCTGCTGCAGCCAGCATACGTGGTTGCAGCAGCACCTCTGCACGGCACACTTACCGGCCGCTCCCTCACTCGATTTTCGCGGGGCCGCTCGGCTCCGCCTCCTCGCCTGTGATTGGCTGCCTGTGTGCCTTTCCTGAGCTACATTTCTGGCGCCCAATCACTGGTGAGGAGGCGGAGCCGAGCAGCCACGCGAACATCGAGCGGTCGAACTGAATGAAGGAGCAGCCACGCTTCCTGGACTGGATTGTCGTGGGACTGGGACTGGAGCCAGGTAAGAAACAGCAGCCCCCTGCCCGCCCCTGTACTTAGTGTCCCTTCCGTTGGAAGGGGGGGCATCCTGACACCAAGTGTCAGCATGCCGTATACCGGCGTATAAGACGACCCCCGACTTTTGAGAAGATTTTCATGGGGAAAAAAAGTCGTCTTATACGCCGGAAAATATATATATATTGGTTACATATTTTCTGTAAATATTTTATTGCACCATTTTGACCTTTTTAGTAATAAATCCTATACTGAAACATATTAATTACACAGGTTCTGTGGCCGATTAAGTTGGTAATTAAACTCATCTAGTGTCTTATCTGCATTAAATTAACCTCAGAACCTGTGTAATTAATATGTGTTTGGTTTTAAAGGGATGAGGTGGCAACCCTATTAAGCTAGGATAGGTCTATCCTATTTTCTACCGCAGAGTGGCAGTAAATGCCATGCAGGGACTTAGATAAGGGGGGTCTGAACCCTCCCAGAGGAGAGTTGTCAACCATCCCTGCAGCATGCAGCCCTCAAAATTTCCACTTGCCCACGAGTAGAAATAAGGTGCAGGTGGCAAGCAGTGCTGGGACTAGGGGTGTGTGGGAGGGGCGGCGTGGAGGCAGTGGCAAGCAGCGATCTCCTCTCCCTTCTCTTAGCTGCTTTCAATGAAGCAGCTAGGAGAAGGGAGAGGAGGAGAAGCGGCTTCCAGGAGATCGCTGCTTGTCACCGCCCCCACCACCTCCCCTCCCACACAACCCTAGTCCCCGCGCTGCTCGCCGCCCCCACTGCTGCACAGAACAGTTCAGTTTTTCTTTCTGGCCCCCCTCCCCTTCCCACTGCCGCTGTATTCCTGCCACTGTGTTCCCGCTGCTGTGTTCTTCTCAGTGCTCAGCCCCTCCCTCCATCCTCCGCACCAATAAGAGAAGAGGGGAGAGAGGTTGGATCTGCTCTGCCTCCCTCTGTGCCAGCCCACACTCCAGTCTGTGCAGTTTCAGAGGATGTGTGGGAAGGAAACTGAACACAGCAGCCGACAGCTCTGATACTTATGATACCCCACCCTTCCTTCCACCCACCCCCTTCCTTCACCCCTTCCTTTTTTCCATCCACCCCTTCATCCCTTCCTTCCTTCCACCCCTTCCTGCCACCCACCCTTCCCTCCCTTACTTCCACCCACCCACCTCTCCCTCCCTTCCTTCCTGCCATCCATTCCTTCCTGCCACCCACTCCTTTCTTCCTTACACCCACCTCTTCCTTCCATCCACCCCTTCCTTCCTTCCTTCTTTCCTTCCTTCCTTACACCCACCCACCCCTTCCTTTTACCCACCCTTACTTTCTTCCTTCCTTCGACCCACCCCTTCCTTCTACCCAGCCTTCCTTTCTTCCTTCCTTTGACCCACCCCTTCCTTTCTTCCATCCATCCCTTCCTTCCTCCCTTCCTTCCACCCCACCCCTCCCTTCCATCCACCTCTTCTTTCCTTCCTTCCTTCCATCCACCCCTTTCTTCTTTTCTTCCTTCCTTCCTTCCTTCCTTCCTTCCTCACACCCTTCCTTCCATCCACCCCTCCATTCCTTCCTTCCTTCCACCCACCCCTTCCTTCTTTCCACCCACCCCTCCCTTACTTCCACCCACCCCTTCCTTCGACCCACCTCTCCTTCCATCCATCCATCCATCCAATCCTCCCTTCCTTCCACCCACCCCCCCCCCTTCCTTCCTTCCACCCCTTCCTTCCCTCCTTCCTTCAACCCACCCCTTCCTTCCTTCCTTCCTTTGACCCACCTCTTCCTTCCTTCCATCCCTTCCTTCCTCCCTGCCTTCCACCCACCCCTCCCTTCCATCCACCCCCCTTCCTTCCATCCACCCCTTTCTTTCTCCCTTCCTTCAACCCACCCCTCCCTTCCTTCCATCCACCCCCCCCTTTCTTCCTTTCTTCCATCCACCCCTTCCTTCCTTCCATTCACCCCTCCCTTCCTTCCACCTACCCTTCCTTCCTTCCTAGGGGAGAAGGTGAGGGGGGGAGGGCATGGTAAAAATGCAAAAATGCGGCTCAGCTACGAGCTGAACCCCCCCCCCAGAAAAAAAAATATCTACAGCCCTGATGCCCCGGTTGGACTGCTTTGTGTACCAGCACCTGCAACAGGATCCTTCAGCAAGACTGCAGTAAGAGAGGAGAAAGGAAGGGAGGGAAGGAAAGTGATGTGGAGGAAGTGGGCAGAACTTTCCATAAGGGAGAAGCTTGAGGAAAGTAAAGAATGGTGAACAGGAGCTGCAGATCTACCTGCAGTTTGACAAGTGACATTATGGTAGTCTACTGATGAGACTTCTGGGGTAGTTATAAGATTTGATGGGTGTATGTCCTGATTGTATTTTGGGTGTATTATGACGGCATTGATTAGGGCACATGGCTGCTGCCTTATCCTTGTAAAACCAACATCAAGTAAGTCTTGTCACCTATTTGTCCCTCACTGGCCACCTCACTTCCTGCCATCCTTCTGACTTTGGCCTGGCCAGGACCCAGCAACGTCTTCAAGAAACACTTAGTCTACAGGCTGCACATGGACAAGTCATCTCCCTATGCTATGGTGTGAAAGCCCATAGATCCGTACAGTAGCAATGCTGTGGGCAGGTAAGGAGGGGGCAGTGGGGAAAAAAAATAGGAATTCTTTCTTTTGTGTTTTAAGTTTCCATTCATTTCTAGTGCCACAAACCTGAGTTATTTGTATTCTAATAATTTACCAATGAACAGACTTCTATGAGCACTGATTGTGCATGAGGTTAGCCACTAAGCCAGTATTGGTGTTGTAACTGAGCAGATCCGGTTTGTGTGTAAAGTTTTGGGTGCTTTAAGCGTGCTGTTACCAGACTACTCCCACCCCTCCCAGTCATACACTCAGCACTGTACTCCTATCAGATCACTCACAGCTGCAGGAAGCAAACGAATGGATTGCCTCTTTGTATATAAGGTGAGAGACACAAGGGGGACTAACCGTCACCAACTGAAAAAAGAACAGCAGAAAACCTCCAACTACTGGCACAAAAAAGTCAAACTTGTGTGCAAGGATTGAAAAGGAACACTGAAGGAAGGAAGCTGCCACACCAGAGAGCTCTGTTGTGATCTGAAGACCTCTGGCTGAAACGCTCAGCAGGGAAAGAGACGGTACAAAGCAGACCGAGAAACAGGAAAGAAAGGGGGGAAAGAGAGAAAAAAAGCTGGAGGGACATATGGAAGCTTAGAAGAGGAGAGCTATTAGTATATGTGTGTGTGTGTGGCGAAGGGGCACAAATGTGTGAGAAAGAGAGAAACTTCTGCATAACTCACAAGACTGTCCCTAAGGCTGTTTTTCTTTTTTCACTTCTTGCAGTGCTGAAGGATCCCCACCCGTGAGAAGATAAAGAAAAAACAATGAAGAGATGCAGGACTGAGGAGCTCCCAAGGCTCTGGAGGATGCTAGCTAGGCGATGATGCTTCTACTGGCTTGTAGTCCTCCTATTATGGCTGAGGATACTAACTGTCAAGGAGCCTTTGACCTGTACTTTGTGCTGGACAAGTGAGTACAGAATATTAAGGCCTTAAGACACCTAACAACACTACCGTTGTCAGGCTCAAAAGAGGTTAATAACTGATGCAGCATTCTGTAATTGAAGCATCCTCCCTCTGCTATGCTGATCTCATTGTGCGTGTATGTGTGTGACTGTATGTGTGTATCACATTTCCACTACTCCCGTGAGTGCAAGAGAGGTCAGGCAGATGTTTTACCATGGAACAGGCATTTGTCCCTAAAGTCACGCCATCTTCCTTCATACAGATTAATAGGAAAAAAAAATTCATGAAAGGTCTAATACCACTATAAATATTTAATCGCAATTCTTTACAGAAAGCAAAACCGTGACATCCTGTTTGAATAAAAGCGCATCTGTATCATTCACAAATGTTAAAAGATTTGATGTGATTCATCTATGAGCAAACTGCGATTTGCATAGATGTACTATGTATATTTAGGAACTATGAAGTCCCCTTAAGCATATACAGTGTATATACAATAATATGATATGAGACAAAGAGTAATATAATATGATATGGAAGGAAGTAGGTGATGGTATAGTAAGTGGACTAGGAGTCAGTTTTATTGTTAATGTGGTATAGAAAAAAAAAGGGGTTGGGAAGCCAACAGGTTAGGTTTTAGGAAAAGAGGCCCAAGGAAGGAAATCAAATTTTTAAAATGTATCAAAGCTACATTTTTTTTTTCGGATAGTGTAGGAAAGAGTTAAATCTCTGTCAAGTTTTCTCTTTTTACACCTGTGTACCATAAGGAAATTTCCCCTTGTGTTTTGTCCCGAAGACACAACAGGAAATTAAATGAAATCTCTCCAGAGTGAGGGACAGTCTCTCTTAGGGCCCTTTCACACGGGCGTTCTGATTTTTTCATCAGTTCAGTCACGTTTTTTCAAATAAAAAACGGGTGAGTTTACATCTGTTTTTTCATCCATTTACATCCGTTTTTAGTCATCAGCTGTCAGCGGGGTTCCCCACTGACAGCTGAATGTAAAAGAAAAAAAACAATTTCCGGCAATTAAAAAATGGAGTGAGGTCCCCCTCTCCATCCATACCAAACCATTCGGATCTGGTTTGCATTTTGAGGGTAACCCCCACACCAAAATTTAAAAAAAAATGGCACGGGGTCCTTCTCAAAATCCATGCCAGACCTTTATCTGA